TAAGGAATCTATGGTGACACCCATGCAGTTATTCATTAATGCTAAAAGGCACATTAACAAAGCCTAATTCTCGTTTGAAAAACAGTATTCATTTGGAGTGAAAATATTGTTAATAGAGTAATGGTGATTTTACCCCTCATAATAAAAATCTTAAAACTAATTATTGGGGGTAATAATTCTTTTTATATTATCCATTAATCATTACTAAACTCAACAAGGATAAATAAGTTTATTTGTTTCAAAAGCATTGTGAAATGACAAAATATTAGGTAAAAACATTGTTCGAAATATATACAATGGTGATTTTTCTTTTCACAACAAAAATCTTAAAACAAGATAATGGAGGTGTTAAGGTTTTTTCACATGACATCTTAATTATTATTGAATTGATTAAGGGAAATTTTTTTTTAATTTCAAAATCACAATCAAATAACTAAAATATCCTTTAAAAAAAAATTAAATTGTGGTCAAGATTTTTTTTGTATTTTCATAATTTAATATTTAAATAAATATAAAAAGTCAAAATAGATGATGTGTACATCCAAATAGAAAGAACTTTTGCTGTTCAAAAAGTGTATATGACAATTTCTAATAGTTAAAATCTTCATTACACTGTATTATTAGAAACATTTTTTTAAGATGATGTATGTGAGAGATACTAACCTAGTTTGTTATTGATGACCCTTTATATTTTTTTTATTTTTTTCTCTTTCCTTAAAAATTAAGGTTAACCATGCAAAATTTTAAAGTTGTCATTTGATTTAGATATTCATTTTGATCTTTATTCTTTTGATTTCTATTTTTTATTCTTTTGTAAATCTTAATTTGTTTTCAATAGCATACTTCAATCCCAATTTATGTTAAATGATTTTTTTTTATTTTGCTCATGATTCTTTTGATCCTTTTCTGTCTTTTAGTTAAATTGAGTCTTTACAATTTCACTATTTAATAAAAAAAATCTAGTTTTATTTTTTTATTTCAATTGTAATCCTTGTTATTTTTATTGTTTTTTTAGTCCTTTTATTAAATTTAATTTTTCTTTTAAATTTAACTGTTTAATAAAAAAAAATAATATTTATTTGTATAATAATTTTGATGAACATTCTTTTGTGTAATTGAAATTTTTTTTAATTTCATCCTTAAACATTTAATTAGTTGATAATTGAGTTTCGTGAGTTTTTTTTTTCCAGATGGGGTGCTTCTGGTTTAATGACCAAAATTATGAGTTTGAAAAGTTAATGCGGGCTGATATTGGTTTTTTTTTTTTACTTTTTTTTTTTTGCTTTCATCATTCAACAATGATTTTTTTTTTTTGTAATTGGGCTTTATGATTTTTTTTATTTTCTTTTGTAATAGATTATCTCGATCTCATAATATAAGTTACACGTTTGTTAGAATAACCCAGGCTAACTAGTTATTTATTGCTTGAGTTGATTCATATTGATTTTTTTTTTGTCCCTTTTTACCTAATTTTATCATTTTTATTTAACGAGTTAAGATGTACATTCAAGTAGCAAGAACTTTTATTATCAAAACATTTTTTTAGAATGATGTATGTGAGAGATACCAACCTAGTTTGTTATCGATGATCCTTTATTTTTTTTTATTTTTTTCTCCTTCCTTAAAAATTAAGGTTAACCATGCAAAATTTTAAAGTTGTCATTTGATTTATAAAGATATTCATTTTGATCCTTATTCTTTTGATTTCTATTTTTTATTCTTTTGTAAATCTTAATTTGTTTTCAATAGCATACTTCAATCTCAATTCATGTTAAATGATTTTTTTTTTATTTTGCTCATGATTCTTTTGATCCTTTTCTGTCCTTTAGTTAAATTGAGTCTTTACAATTTCACTATTTAATAAAAAAAATCTAGTTTTATTTTTTTATTTCAATTGTAATCCTTGTTATTTTTATTGTTTTTTTAGTCCTTTTATTAAATTTAATTTTTCTTTTAAATTTAACCGTTTAATAAAAAAAATATTTATTTGTATAATAATTTTGATGAACATTCTTTTAATTGTTATTTTTTTATTTTAGATTCTTTTGTGTAATTGAATTTTTTTTTAATTTCATCCTTAAACATTTAATTAGTTGATAATTGAGTTTCGTGAGTTTTTTTCTTTTTCAGATGGGGTGCTTCTGGTTTAATGACCAAAATTATGAGTTTGAAAAGTTAATGCAGGCTGATATTTGTTTTTTTTTTTTTTTTTTTGGTTTTTTTTTTTACTTTTTTTTTTTTGCTTTCATCATTCAACAATGATTTTTTTTTTTTGTAATTGGGCTTTATGATTTTTTTTATTTTCTTTTGTAATAGGTTATCTCGATCTCATGATATAAGTCACACGTTTGTTAGAATAACCCGGGCTAACTAGTTATTTATTACTTGAGTTACATATTATGTTAACTTGAGTTGATTCATATTGATTTTTTTGTCCCTTTTTACCCAATTTTATCATTTTTATTTAACGAGTTAAGAATTGAGTTACATTATTTGTTTCTTTATGGAAAATCATTTTTTCCCAGGTTATCGCCATCATCTTTTATATATATATATATATATAATTTGGTTCATTTGTTGTTATTAATTATTTTTTATTATTTAATTAAAATAAAATAAATTTATTTGACTTGATCAAATATGATTGAAATTGCATATTTTCTTCTTTCTTTAACACATATTTGTAGCACTTGAATATTATTTTTTACACAAAAAATAAAAAAGAAAAAAGGCCCCAAAGTATAGCATGAGTTCATACCTAGCCATGTTTAAATATTTAAAGGTGACACATTTAGTTCTTGAAAAAAAATCTAGGTTAACTTGCAAGATATACATTAATTTTGTATATATATCATTTTTGTTCAAAATTATATCATTTTAGTTTTTTATTTTTTTAATTATTTAATGTTAATCGGTTAATGCTAAATCGAGTTTGACTAGGATAGCTAAGTTAATATTGAAACAAATGAACTTGAAATCCAGTCTGAATTAGGTTATTAGTAATGATATTTCTGGTTCAACATATCAACTGGGTGGAGTTTAAAAATATTGCACCATAAATTGATTCTAGGATATTGTTTTACTGCGCAATCCAATTAAAAACCAGGAGAAAAAAGAAAAAAGAAAAAACTTCATAGGCTCTAGTTCTCCTAGTTATCTACTCTGACCAATTGGAATCCTCCTGTGTTGATGACTCCATATTTAGTATTCAGTCCACCCGTATTTGTGGGGGATAAGGTTACAGTAGCAGACAGCCTCAAGCGAAAAGTCGCATGTCCCGAGAATCAAGAGAGTTTAAAGTTAATGTCTCACAAGAAGACGATGAACACAACTCCAAGCAAGCACGAAGAAAGTCTAGCAAGCAAATAAAGTTATGGTCACGTTTTTTCTATTTTTTTTTATTTTTATAAAAAAATCTCAGATTCAAACAAACATTTCCTGGTCCAACTTGATAAGATGGCTCACAGATTTTTTTCTGTATGATAAAGACATTTATTACATACATACATTAATTCATTAATTATTGATAGGTGTTTCAAATTACTCATTAATTGGTAAATAAATAAATAAAATTTAAAAGAGGTTCCACGTACCCATCAGAGTTGATTGTAACACATCTTGATTATTTCTTTTTTTCTTTTTTTCTTTTTGATTATTTCTTTCAAACATTAGAAGTAAGGTTTCTAATAGTGAGATAATATATAGTTGTTTTTTAAATATGTTTTGTTTGAAAATATGTTAAAATAATATTTTTTTAAAATTATTTTTAATATCAATACATCATAATAATAAAAAAATTAAAAAGATAATTTAAGATAAAAAAATTAATTTTTTTAAAAATACTTTTAAAATACAAATAAACATGTCTTTTAATCAACAAAATTCGTAGTCTGCTTGGGAGGCTGAAACCGACAAGTCGTTCTCTCCCCACCCGTTTGTCATTCTGCTTTCTAGTTTCCACCCCAATAAGGGCCATTATTTTCTCAACCGACATGTGTTGCAGTCCAGCTGAAAAGTCAACTTGCTCAAGCTGACACGTCGTTCCGCCTCAAATCTGCATGTCTTCCAAAATTTGCCCTTCCATGTCAGGCCAACATCAAATTCATTGAAGCAATGGCCAAATCCACCTAGGAAACGATGTTAAATCTTCCATTTCTTGAATTATTATAAAAGACTCATTGTGCGTGTTGACTAGGTGATTCCCAGTACTTCAAGAACAACACTGTCAGCCCTTTGCTGCTAACTTTTGGGGCTGGGAAATATTCCATCATGTTAGCATTGATAATTTTTGTAGTTATTATATGAAAAAATAACTTTAAGAAAAGTTATAACTTGTAAACTTTTCTTAATCAAGGTTTTTTAATAGGGAAATCTGTATATAATTATAATAAATGATAATTAACTAAACATTTTTAAAATTATAATTCAAACGAAGCACATATCATATTATAAAAATAAATAAAGTCTAAATATATAATTAAATTTAAGAATTGATTCAGAAAATAATTTGAATGACTATCTAGTCCATTTAGATTAATTACCTTAATTAAAATAATATTATTTTAATTTTTAATTTTTTCTTGATGTTAGTCTTAGATTATTAAAAACTCAATTTGTTCTTATAAAGGTAATATTGTTTTTTTAATTTAACTTTAAATTTAAGACAAAGCAAGCTTTAAATTAAAAATTTTATAGCTTACCTCAAGTCTAAGCAACTATGTTTGATATGCCTTACTCTAAAACTCAATTTTAGGTAAGACATTTCGAAAGTACAAATACTTGGTATAAATCAAAATTAGGTAAAGCCCCCGGATTAGGAAGAAGGGGGGAGAAAAGCTGAATAAAACAGGGATATGTAAATAACGAAAGCTTGGTCATCTCAACTACATCCAAGCAAAATATTTGAACAATGAACACTAATCCAATGTTGTACATGCCAAATGAGAAAGGTCCCAAAAATCCAATTCCCGGCAAAGACAACAAGTAATCCAACAAATTACTCAGGCAATCACCATTTTTCTTCTGGGGTCTCTACTCTCATCACCATTGATGGAAACTAGACTGTCTGTGTATATTGCTAAATCACATAAATTGATATCTCTGTATGCCCAGATGCATTTATTTTTGTCTTCTAAAGGATGGTACAACGCTAGTTGCCATTCATCATAATCAAGCAGAAGCTCTCCTTTCTTTGTTAAACACAATACTACTTTAGGTTCTTGAGAAAGCCTGTCAGCTGGGAGCCTGAATAATCTTCTGAAAGATGCACTGCTATCGTGTTCCTGCTCATGTATCCATGCCTCAAAATAGCTTCCATGGCATTCACCAAATGCACACAGGAAATTTCCTGACAACCCCAAAACCACCGTATCGAAATGATCCGGAAGTGGCACAACTTCCTTGAATCTCTCCTCTGCTACATCAAATGAACAGCCACATACTCTTTCTCAGACCCATTTTCTTGCTTTCCTAACCAATGCACAGCCCCATTGCAAAATAACCCTCGATAAGCCCCTGCCAAGGAAGTACCTTGACAGATCTCCGGAACTTTTCTCCAGACATTGGTTTTCAATGCAAGAACTTCAACCATAATTTGTTCAGAACCATCAGCCGTAGTGCAGCTAGGGATCACAAATTTATAATCATCATTAGAGGAATCATAACCAATTCCAGCAAAGAAATCAAAGCCATGATCACAACTGGGTTTTGGCAATTCCTTGTAATCTCTAGTAGATGGATTCCATAAGACGAGTTTTGCATAGTCAACAAATAAACAAATCAAGCCATCGCAAGATCCCATAATTCCAATAAAGTAAGTAGGACTGCACCTTATTACATCAGGATATTCAAGCTCCTGTACTGCATTATCCTCATCACCTTCACTAGCTGCTTCGAAGTCAACGGATTGAGGAGTCCTGGTTGAAAGCAGAAGTCTCTGGCACTTATTAGAGTTGACTTCCCTTGCTATTTTGAGGTGTGATTTCACAAACTTCGGATCCGAGATTAATGAATGCCATAGCTTGCACACACACTTGAATCGTAGTAGAGACTTAACTGGTAGGTAAGTTAGTATATCGACCATGATGTCCTGAGGGAGTTTGGACATGGCTCTTTAGCTAGATTTTGGTGTTCAGTTTTTTGGTTTCAGCTATAATTCTGAAACTTAACTGCTCTTCTTGGAAGTCAAGTTTGAACAGCTAATATTCATATAAAAAAATTGTTAGAACAGCTCATCCCTGGTTGGATTTAGTCATTGAAGTTGGTACCAAAACTTCTTGACCTCTAGGAATCACAATAAATACTTTTAAATGCCTTTATTTAATATTTACCCTTTTTAGTTCCCCCATCATGTGTGCATATGGATTAGTTCCCCCTACATGTTGAAAGAACCTGACATTCCCATATGTTCTCCTCCACTCAGAATCAACAAACCCGTTCATGGCCATGAATTGTAGATCTTGACCTAGAACATAGCCAATCAGGGCATTTCCCCATCTTCTAACTTCAGGGGCCACTTCCTTGTCACTCAATGAATCCACTAACTTCCCATTTTTCTCGACAGATTCTACCTAACTTAACTTTATTGCTATAATCTGAATCATGTGTGCATATGGATTAGTTCCCCCTACATGTATGCATATGGATACAAAATAACTAATACCCTAACTGTTTTTGAAACACAGATTCAGCAACAGTTCCAAGCAGAAGCCTAACAAATACAACCTGATAAATAAATCCAGAGTAGGGTTAGAAGATTAATTTCCAGCACCATAAAACTAGTCCACACTTTCCATCCTTTTCTTTGGACAATTTTGATAATAACGTCCAAATACTTCACAACCAAAAGCAATAAGCTGACAACTTTTCAAAATTATGATATCTTTGAATCAGGAGGAGTTAGTTCTATACAACAGCTTGCATGAGACAACCTTTCCCTTGTTTCTGTCAGCTTATCTGTAAACAAAGGTGTACCAACCGTAATTGCAATCTTACTAAGGATTGAGGAGACCACAACTGGAGCTTCAAATTAGGCAGTTTAATCCAAATAGGCACTGGTCTTATACCAGCTGCCTAGTTTCAGCTGTTTCAAAATCAAACACAAGAACTCCTGGTTCTATTATAAAGAACCTGACATTCCCATATGTTCTCCTCCACTCAGAATCAACAAACCCGTTCATGGCCATGAATTGTAGATCTTGACGTAGAACATAACCAATCAGGGCATTTCCCCATCTTTTAACTTCAGGGGCCACTTCCTTGTCACTAAATGAAATCACTAACTTCCCATTTTTCTCTACAGATTCCACCTAACTTAACTTTATTGCTATAATCTGATACGGTTACCTTTGGCCTTTGTGTGATGCCGGCTTAGTGTTAAATGGCTGCAGTGGTTGATACTTGATACACTGCTGTAAGTACTTCAGAGAAAAAAAAATTAAGGACGAGATTATATATCTTGGTTGGGTGGAAATTAAATCAAATCCCATGATTTTCACGATTGTAGAAAGAAATAAAAGGAGAAACTCAAGCAAATATAAATTAGTAATGCTCATTTATGTGAAGATATTAATAATCTTCCTAGTTTATTGTTTCAACTTTGGACTGTGAGCAATCCATTGTGGTGACCTACTCATAACTCTTCTTTTTTACTTTTAATGGGAGGTCCGGCATGTTTTGGGCTACATAACAGCAGCAATTCTCTTTGTAATAAACCTCTGTTACGATGCAATATTATGCACAAAACAGACAAGAAACTAGTCAATCTATCAGCATTGCATACATACACTGTAGATTCCAAATAACAATGGTACTTGAAATAAACCACTTACAATAGGATGGAAAAAAATGTAACGAAAACGTGCATAGAAATGAAAGAAGAAGGGATGGAAAAAAATGTTACGAAAACGTGCATAGAAATGAAAGAAGAAACAGCTTGATCTGTAGCTTTATTTTGCTGCTTTATGTTCTTTAACATTCTAGATTTATCGTAGTGAGACAAGGCTTTCTGTATATACAGCAGAATCATAAATGGGATCCCCATCGTTTTTTACTCTTAATAACTTTGTTGCATCTTCAACTGGGTTGTAAAGCTGCAATGTCCCTGGACATCCATGATGGTCCATTAAAACTCCTTTCTTCGTCAAGCACGTTTCTGTTGAAAAATAATCAATATATAATCTATCAAAAGGAATAGAAAACCGTCTTCTCCAAGATGTCTTGACTCCATATTCACTTGTTATCCATGCCTCGAAGTAGCTTTCATCAGGATGCAGTTTGCCAAAAATGCACAAGCAATTTCCTGAGATGCTCAAAACAGCTGTACAAAAATGGTTCGGAAGTGGCACAAAACCCCTAAACTTCTCGTGTGCTACGTCAAGCGAAAAAATAGCATTCACATCATGATCAGCACCTGTTTCTTGCTTCCCTAACCAATACAAAGCCCCGTTCCAAAATACTCCTGCACCTCCTTCCAAGGTGATACCAGAATGGATGCCTTGAATTCTTCTCCATGAATTGGTTTTGAGGGTGAAGACTTCAGGCGCCATAATTTTGTGAGAACCATTGGCAGTAGTTAAGCAGGCAATTACTAATTTGTAATCGTCGATAGTTGAATCATAACCAAGTCCAGTAAGGAAACCATCTTTCTGCACATAAGAACTTGGTTTTGGCAATTTCTTGGACTCTCTAGTAGATGGATTCCATAAAAACATATCGTGAACGTCACCTCCATTACGTATACATACTAAACCATCACAAGATCCCCGGATCGATGCAAAAGCGAAGGATTCAGTACGACTTGCTGCGCTAGGATAAGGAAGCTCCATTACTGCATTAATGTCATCACCATCACTAGCTGCTTCAAAGTCTACAGAACTATAAAGAGGCTCGGCCGCAACAAGGAGCCTTTGGCGGTTAATATTGTTGCCTTCAATTGCCCGTTTGAGATGCAACTTGACGAATCGAGGGTCGGAGATTAACGACTGCCATGGCTTGCACACACACTTGAATCTAACAAGAGACTTGACTGGCAAGTAGGAAAGGATATCAACAATAATGTCTTGGGGGAGTTTTGACATGGCTAGTCAACTTGATTTTGGTTTCTCAAGCTGTTGTTGGAGGAGAAAGAATTAGTATAAGAAATGATTTTCAGCTGTGAGGTAAGATCGAAGCTTCATTATTGACCTGGTCATGTCTTGAGTGGGCTGGTATAAATGGAAACCACAAGAGGAAACTAGACAATTTGTCTGCTTCACCTACAAATGAGCCTCTTCCATTTTCCTTAGACTAATATTCGTTTAACAGGTCATCAGAGCCGGACCATACAATGAAGAGTATCCCTGTTCCCGGAAATGATAATTGTTACAGAATGAACGACTTCCATTTCCATGGAATTCTTCTAAGTTCTAGCATTAGGCTAGTGGTTGGTTGAATAAGTCATCGGTGCCGGACCAAAAAGTGAACTAACTGTTACAGAATACAAGTATTTACATGTGTCAGATGATTGACTAATATAGCTAGGCTTTGAAAGCATCCTAACAATGATAATGCAAGGAAGGTAGCCTGCTTGAATGTTGTGTAAAGGTTGTGTTTTAAAATGTTTTTTTATTTAAAAATATATTAAAATAATATTATTTTTAAATTTATTTTTCATATCAATACATTAAAATGATAAAAATATTAATAATTAATTAATTAATTTTAAATAAAATAAAATTTTAATTTTAAAAATACAATATTTTAATCGCAATATGCATTATATTATTATGCTTGACTTGGTTTATGCTACTGTTATTACTTTGAATTTATAGCTCTTAAACCTAGTCCACGTTGATGAGTTAACTAAAGACCTTTGACATAGATATTGGGCTTGATTTTACTCTGAATCAAGTTGCTTTCAAGTTTTCTTTTTAAATAAATTATAGTTTGGGTTGACTCACTAACTCATAAGTTAAATCACCTAATTAGCAACCCGAGTCCTAAGCCATATCGGTTCCATTATTGAATCTTATGTCCATGCTTGTATTAGCAATAGAATAATTGACATGTAGAAAGGCAGGACTTGAAAGCATCATTTTATAGCCTCATGTACAGTGACGGAGCAAGAAAATTTTAAATAAAGAAGTAAATTATAAATATTTAATATTATATATTATATAAACATATGTTATATATAAAGAAATTAATTTGAAATGTATGTACTAACTCATGTCAAGCAAAATTAATTTAAGAATATTTTTAAAATAAAAAACTTATATTATAATTATTTTTTTTGAGTTTTTATATTTTAAAATTGCTTAATAATGACTTCATTATTAATTTCATTAAAGATATTCTTTCTCGATATATATAATGAAACTTTCATTCATCTATTTCTAAATCTTCTAGGAACTAGTGAAATTATTGGCAATAATTATTTGTTAATTATTGACAACAATTGCCCCCTTAATTCTCATTGTGGCTCCGCTACTGCTCATTTATGAACGAAAATACTATATCATAGTAATTTAAATATCTTAAGCTACGATAATAGATCGAAAAAGAATAGCTCAACTTAATAAGTGATGGGTTGGAAAACGAGCATTATTTACATAATTTTTTTATTGATAATTTACAGTAATATTTATTGACCGAATTAATTTTCTCACTAACCTTGTCAATATATACCAACAAAAACATTTCGTTGGTATATACCAAGGAAAACCCAAACAAAATATAAAGAATTTTAGAAAACAAAGCAGATCAATGATGTGAAAGTTTTTCTAGGTGATTATACCAACAAAATTATAAAGGGATTCAAACCGGAATTTTTGTATAGTGACGTATCAACTTTACCTACCGAAATGTCAATGGATTGACAGACATAAAAATTCCATCGGTAATAGTTAAGATAAGAACCTGGTCGACCCTCTCCTCTTCCATTTCTCCTTCTTCCCTTCTGCAATTAAACAAACTCCCCTAAATCTGTAACTAACAACCACCCTCTCTCATCACATCATTCTTTTCTCAACACAACTCATCCTTCCTCAACTTTTCCAGTTACAAATGCAATTTTCTTGTGTTGTTTTCATTGTAAGTAAGTAGATTTATCATTTTTAAGTAGATTTATCATTTTTTAAATTTAAACACAATTTTGAAATGTTAACTTTTTTTATTGTATATTTTTGTAGTATTTGTATTTTGTTTGGGTGTTTACTTGTTTTATTTTTGTTCTTTAACAAACATGTTCTATAGGTATATGATTTTGTACATGTTATGTTTTGTTGTAGATTTTGTAAAATTAGTTTTGTTTGTAAATTATTGAAATTTATATCGAATTACCAACTTAGTTGTTTTGTAATGATATAAATAGTGGCTTGTTTAACAGGTCCGTTTTATATTTTGTTAATTTTATTGCCAAATTATAATTTTCATAAATTAATATGCATAAATTTATATGTGCATAGATAATTGATAATGAATTAAGAGAAGTATGAAAGTAGGTTGATTATTTACTTAACATAGTTAATTAATACACATTAGTGTCATCATTATGTGATATATATATATAGGTTCAATAAAAGTAATGGATGATTATTTATGGATGTATCGAGATTCACCTTAAGAATTGCGGATAATGAATTATTGTAATGGGGCTCAATGTTTTATTAGTTTCACAATATTTATTCTGAGAAATTTTAGTGGAGGCAATATTAGGTGTCAATGTAGGAGTGTAAGAATAAAAAGTTTCTTTACCAAGATGTTGTAACGATGCATCTTCTACACAAATGGTCACTGAAGGATTACTTGTGTTGGTATGCACACCCGCATCTTCTACACAAATGGTCAATGAAGGATTACTTGTGTTGGTATGCACACCAGGAGGCTTTGTTCTGTTTGTTGCATGTGCGAAGTGGATGGTAATATTAATGTTAATGATATTTAGGATTAATTAATTTATTGTTATTTACAAATATATTTAACTGACAATAATTTTTTTCTTATAGGCTACGTCTCTTATACGTGAGCTGAGCTCAATGGAGTTTTTTGTGGAGACACATGTGCAGAGTGAAGACTGCTAAAAAGAGGTGCAACAGTTTGTCAACAACTACGCTCAACACTTCGCGGTATGTTCGTTCAACCATTTTTTTTTGTAAGTTATTATTTTATTGAATTGAATTTGATGATATATTTTTTTAATTTTCAGGAGACATATAATAGCTGGTTAAGGGAGGGATATATGAATGATCCTTCAACCCACTCGGGTTTCGATCCTGATATATAGATAAAAAAAAAAATTGTCTGGTGGATCCAATAGAAATCGGGTGTACAGACTCTCTAACTCTATGGTTAAGAACTTATGGTGGCATGTAGTGTCTCAACCATTAGGAGCTCCCAATCGGTATCGAGCACCCAGTGTCAAGACTTTATAGCCTTGCATCAACACATGACTCATCTCACCAAAAAATACGAGCAACTCTCGACGGATTATGAACAACTCTGTCAAATAGTCATGGACATAAAATCACAGATGGGTGGTACATGTGCGCCTCTCTTTTTTCCATTTGGTCCCGGGAACGACCAGCCTCCTCTTTGTCCTCTAGCACCATTATTGTTCTAGTTTAATTTGTATTTGTATAAATAAAATTGTAATGAATATTTGGATTTTAATTATATTATTCAATTTTATTTTTACATATTTCAATTTTATATATAAATCTGTCTGGATTTTCTAAAGGCAATGAAACAAATTTACTGCATATACCACAATTACTGATGGAATAATTTCGTGGGTGACTCACCAATGGGAATATAGATGAAATCTATTCGACGATATTTTACAGAGAGTTGGAACAAATTTACTATACATGCTACTATCATCGATGGAAATTTTCGTCAATATAATTCCAGGGGGAATTTTTTTGCATTAATTTTTTGTCTATAAAACCATTGGTTTTTTTTTTTCTATCAACAAAATTAGCAACATGTGTTGGAATTACTGACAAACTATATACCAAAAGACTATTTCTATCGGTGAATTAGTCAATAAAATTATCATTGATGGATTGGTAATCACATACTGACGGAAAAATTCAGTCTGTAACATTGTTAATTATTATGTTATGTTTTATAATCAGCAAAGTTAACATAATAACATCAGCGTATGCAATTTAATTTTGGGTTGTAGCTTCAATCACATAGTGATGTAAAGAAAACAAGCCAAGATATTAGCACTATGCTAGAAGGCTCCACCTCTTTATTCTGTCTTCTTGATCTTCTTCACAAACTCAGCCTAGTAAATGAATTTCCTCTACCTGTAGACAAGAAATTAAAAAATTTATACTAAAAGCAAAGCTGTAAAACAAAAGGGTTTCATTGATCTTTTCACAATATGCATTGCACTAATGTATTGGCTTGCAATCTACAAAGGATCGATAATATTTTTTTAAATATAAAAAAAAATTTATATTTTAAAAAAATATTATTAAAAGAGACTTGGGTCTGCTAGTCATGCCAGACTCAAGACAGTGAGGTCTGGGGCTAAGCCAAATCCAAGGTTCTTGATCCTCGTATGGCCGCCAAACACCAGATCCAAGATAGTTGGGTCTCGCATGGTCGATAGATGCTAGATCCAAGATACTTGGGTTTGACAGCCCATCGCAGACCCAAGACACTATAACATTAATCAGAGTAGCACAATTTGCGTCTGACAACTTAACTTACGTTATTGAAAATAACTTAATTCTAAAAATTTTAAATGTTAACGGATGTGATGTTCTCACAAACTTTTTAAAATTTTAAAAGGCTTTAATCAAAGTAGCACAACTTGGTTGTAGCATCAAGTTGTGTTATTTTCTTGATTTTGTTAATTATGATAGTTTATAAATTATTTTTATTAATTATAGATTTATATGAAAAAACATGATTATTATATAGCATGTTTATTTTTTCATTTCAAAAATATTTTTGAATTTTTTCTTTGCTTTAAATTATTTTTTAATATTTTCAAATTATTTTAATGTATTAATATTATAAATAGATTTTTAAAAAAATTATTTTAATATATTTTTAAATAAAAAATACTTTAAAAAAATTAAATCGTTAATCATAAAATAGAAGTTCTATTGAAGAAATAAAAAATTCATAAACATAAAATCTAAATTAAATTAGATTTTTAGATCTAAAACATTAAATTAGCTTTTTATGATGGATTGTTATTTATACTTCTTTTATAAATAATTTTTTAACCCACGTTACTTGGGTCTGACAAACATGTCTAGCTCAAGTTTATTTGAATAATCATAACAACAATAATCATACTAATAACAACAATAACAATAATAACAACA